TCTCCCTATCCTATCCGAGAGAAATTTTTGCATGTGTGCCTCAAGACACATGAATAAGAACCTTCATAATAGCACAAAAACGGAAAATGGCCCATATGCCCATCAGAGGAAGAATGGATATATAAGTGGTGGTATATTCAATACAATGGAATATTTTACAGTAATGGAAATAAACTATAGCTACATATGATAACATGAAAGAATCATAGTAACATTAGGAATGAAAAACGCAAGCCTCAGAAGATTACAAATATTATATTGTATAAACAAGGAAAAATAAAATACTATTAAGGTGCATGAACATGCACGCCCATGCATGCATGCACACACACATACACACACACACTTTTAAAAATTCCTTTAAAAAATTCTTTAAAGTTCTTGGGGTGCCTGGGTGGCGCAGTTGGTTGAGCATCCAACTCGTGGTTTTGGCTCAGGTTGTGATCTCAGGGTTATGAGACTGAGCCCCGCATTGGGCTCCATGCTCAGTGGGGAGTCTGCTTGAGATTCTCTCTCTCTCTCTCTGCCCCTCCTGCCTATATTCTCTCTCTCTCTCGAATAAATAAATAAATCTTAAAAAAAAGAATAAAAATTTCTTTAAAGTTCTTAAAACCAACCAAAACAAAAAATTATTAAACACCAGATTCAGGATTGTAGTTACCTATCAGAGTAGGCAGTGGATAAGGAATAAGGATAAGGTATTTAGGTAGATGTAAATTATCAGTAACATTCTATTTCTTGGACCAAGTGGCAGTTTCATGGGTATTCACTAGGTTGTTGATAAAGAAATGAAAAATTTAAAGGCCCATGTATGGCCCATTGATGATTATGTGTCATGAACTAAGGATTATGATTAATCCAATTCTACGTACCCAAGTTCAGAAAGAAAATATATTAGTAATAGCAAACATGTTTATAGTGCTTACCATGTACCTGGCACTGTTCTAAGATCTTTATATGTTTTAACCCATTTAGTCCTCCCAGTGAAGATCCTAGGATTATTCCCATTTCATGGATGAGAATATCGAGGCCCAGAGAGATTAACAGTAACTCTTCTGCCCACAGCAGAGCTGGGATTTAATCCACACTGGCTGTTTCCAGCATCCATGCTCTTAGCCACTGCCCTATAAGATGTCTAAATAAATGAAAGAGATAATCATATTAGGGCTTAGTCATGCAGGAGAAGTTATAGTAGAGTGCTTTCTGTAACAATGTTAAAAGGATGAACCACATACAGAGCTCTGTAAGTATACTAAAAGCCACTGAGTTCTATACTTTAAATGGGTGAAATTTATGGTATGTAAATTATATCCTAATAAAGCTGTTAAAAATAAAGGCCACAAACCACAAATAAGTAAGTGACTTTAATAATGCAAACTGGGTCCTAAATGATTGTTTGCTATTTTAGGATTTAATATATGCCTATGGGTAAAATACATGCTTTTTCTCCAGACCAACAAAATAAACCTCACTGTCAGGAGACCACTCACGTTTATGAAGGTAGATGAAATAGAAAATTTTAATCCACTCTTGTGGGTGGGAAAATAATTTCAACTCCCAGCTTCAGGCCTTTTTCATCTGCCAGGAAATCAAACAGCTCTCAGTTCCCAAGATCAATTTCATATTGCAATCATAATTGTCTGTGTACTGAGGATACACAAACAATAAAACCTAGGAAGAGGGTGGAATGAAGACATTTGATTGAAGACATACTGATACCTTTTAATTATGCAGTTTCTTCCATAACTTTTATTTTGCTTTTTCCTCTTAAATCTAAAACTGATTTTAAAGGATATGGAAAAAGCAATTCCTAGAGAAAGCTAGTTGTGGTCACTTTCCTGCTGGGCTGTGTCTTTGAAGGCCTTTGAATCAAAGCTTCAAAGGACCAACATTGACACCAGAATGGGCTATGGCAGCTTTTTCTCAACTCTATGTCTTGGGTTTTGACAAGGTATTCACAAGGCCAGATGAAACCTTGAACTGGACCTCAACAGCTCCATCACCAATGCCAGAAAAAGGGTTTAAAGTCCTGGCCTTCTAAACCATGGGTCACTTTTATCCTCTTTCATCTCTCTTTAAAACACATGTGCAAACATAGGCTGATACATCTCACTAAGCACCTTCATACTGTAAAGAACACAAAGGAAATGAAAACACTCATTTTGACTACAACATGGCCATATTATGTCATTATCCAATTCTGTTGTGGACATACACACATACACACACATCAAGGTTATATTTTGGCTTTGTTACTAATAACAGAATCCAGGGCTTTTCTGTCTACCCATTCGACTTACCAGTCCTTGGCCACCAATCCCCTTAGGCAAGCTCTCCTGAGGCCGACAGCTGTGTGCAGTAGCTTCCATCAAGCTCCCTGGTATTTCAAATGCTAAGCCACTAAGCCTAGCAGAGCCTCAGGCACTGCTGCACAGACTGGTACCTGCTCCTTGAACTCTTTCCCTCCATTCTTGTGCTCCCTCAACCCCTGTCATGTTTGAGAAACTATGCTGATTTGGTCCTTACTTTTTCTTTGATCATTCAGTCACCTATGCAGGTCAGTTTAGGCCAAAAATAGTCATTCTGGAGCCTGATTTGGATTGGCTATTACATTAAGTAATCAGATAATGGCTTAACTTCAATTTTGTGTTGTATTTAATATAATCTTGAAACAGATTAAAATCCCTAACAATGTAAAGCCTTTTGTTTTATGCTTTTACAAATAATGTGTTGGTTGTTGTTGTCTTTATCTCCTAACATCCAGATTTTTATCTTTAAATATCATTTCTCACTAAAAGCAACCAGATCTCCTTGGAGAAACTGGCTGATTTCATGTCTGGGGCAGGAAATGTATCAGATAAGCCTGTAACAAAATAACAAAAGGGGAAGAGTGGGAAGAGAGTGTATAGGAAACAAGATTGACAGGAGTTGGTAATTGTTGAAATTGGGTGTTGGGTACACCGGAGTTCTTTATAGTATCCTACTTTTGCATTTTTTTTTTCTTGTTAGTTTAAGGATTGCTAATTAAAAAAATGAAACAGTAATAGCATGCACATGGTAAAACAAGTTTCCTTTTAATAATGCAGAAAGATATACAATGGAAAGTTGAGTTTCTCTCCCACCCAGACCCTCCACCCGCCTCTCAGGGTAATCTGAGTAACCATAACCAAAGTACTCTCAATGAAGTTTCTATGAATGTATTAACAAAAACACGTGCACCTACGCATATATATTATTTTTTAAAACCACAAGTGGTAGCATGTTATACACATTGTTCTATGCCTCATGAAGTTTTAATAGCTAGTCTTAATTCAGCGAATAAGTCTACATACTACAGTGCCGCGGATTTTTATGCCTTTACCTATTAGGCTTCTTTCAAGCTTTGATCAAATCAAGAGATAAAATTCATATTCACCTTCCTCAAGATTATCTAGAAAGAGAAGGATGGCTAAGGCAGGGCTAAACATGTTGCAGTCCTAATCATAACACAGCTTTCAAGTTTAGGTTTCAGTTTTGGGGACATTCGCATTACCTTGAAAAATGTTATGTTAAAATCTCATTCTCTCCTACATACTGGACTTGAAAGAAGTGAGAAGAGAGGATCAACATAACTCTCGTAACCTCTGCCAGGAGACCTGGGAGGACGGCAAAAAAGCCTAATCGCTGTGATGAACTCAGCACTTCCTGCACCTGCCACAAGTGCTTTATTTACCTTTATGAAAGTTGGGGTTTGAAGCAGATGATGCCTGAAGGAGGCAAAGAGGTTCCTCTGGAGAGTCGGCAAGACTGTGCTACTGGGTTCTTATACTAACCTGATACCGGGAGGTACGAGAAGCCGCAGAAAAAACGAGACACGTCTGCATATGGAGCGTCAATTTGACTCGATTATTTAACGGGGAGGGACATTACATATACAAAGCCAACGGACCTAGATCGCCAGATCTTGTACAAAATCCAAACGCACGCGGCTTCGCAACAGAAAACTGGGAGCGCAGAGACACGCGCGCGGGCGGCGGGGCCCGGGCGCCGGGTACCCGCCGCCTCCGGTTACGCGGGGTACTTGGGCTGGAGCGGGGAGCACCAAGGAGAGCCAGGCCCCGGGCGAAGGCTGCAGCTCGACTGTGCTGCCTCCCGGCTGCGGGCCCCCGAGAGCCCCAGGTGTTAGTGGGACCGGCACTTGGCGAACTGGGAACCCGCGGCCACCCTGCCCCGCGGATCCCAGGGCCCCAGCTTTTACAGGCTGTTTTGAGGTCAGAGGGACTAAGATGGTGTCCGCTGGGAGCTCCCCGGGCCGCCTTCCTGAGGAATTCGCCCCGACAGCCCCTTGTCCTAGGCAAGTAACTAAGTGGGCGGCCCAGAAGTTTCGGGTTCCAGGGGCCGAGGCACACCCAACCACGCCGCAAGACCAAATAAATGAGGAGAGAACGCCGAAAGCGCGAGGAGGCGGAGCTAGCTCTGGGTCACCATCTCGCGACGTCTTAGTGACGTCGCACAGCAAGCGCGTGTTCTACTCTTTCACCTTCAGTCAGCCTTCTCAGTATACGAGCCTACCCCTTTAAGCGAATGATGGACAGTTATTTCAGCCTATCAACTTCCTTGTCAACATCCAATCAAATTTAAACTTCTTTGAGCCGCCGGAGGAGTTGGAAAAAGAGGTCGAAAAAGGGAGCGCTTTCTCTCTCGCGAGAACGCTGTAAGCGGGCCTCTCAGAAAAAACGCCAGAACTGATGGCCCGACTTCCCAAATAGTGAGTTAAAGGACGGAGTCACAAACCAATGAAAGGAATGAAGAGGTGGGATCACTGCTTTTACCGCGCTAGAAGTACCGTTACAGGGCAGACTTTTTGTCCAATCAACGCCTCCAGAGTTTGGGTCAGGTGACCCTAGAGTGCGAGGGGCGGAGCCACAGCCTGGCGCGAGGAACCGTTAAGATGGACAACAAATATAACCAATGAGGTACTCAGACTAGGGCGTTGGGAACCCAATAACAGTGGTTGGGCGGGCGCCTTTCCGGAGCGCGGGGAGATGTAAAGACAGACAAATCGTTTTCCCAATGAGACTGTAGAAGAGACAAGCTAATTGACCAATGAGGACTGCGGGGCGGGATCCTTTACCGCGGCGGAGTCCAAGATGGCGGCGTGCGGTTCCGCTGTGTGAAACGAGCGCGGGGCGGCGGGTTAATCATCTCCGCGGAGACGACCTCCGACGACCCGCAACAATGAAGGGAAAAGAGCGCTCTCCAGTCAAGCCCAAACGCTCCCGTGGAGGTGAGGACTCGACTTCCCGCGGGGAGCGGAGCAAGAAGTTAGGGGGCTCTGGTGGCAGCAATGGGAGTAGCAGCGGAAAGACCGACAGCGGCGGCGGGTCGCGGCGCAGCCTTCATCTGGACAAGTCCAGCAGCCGAGGTGGCAGCCGCGAGTATGACACTGGTGGGGGCAGCTCCAGTAGCCGCTTGCATAGTTACAGCTCCCCAAGCACCAAAAATTCCTCGGGCGGGGGCGAGTCGCGCAGCAGCTCCCGGGGTGGAGGCGGGGAGTCACGTTCCTCTGGGGCCGCCTCCTCAGCTCCTGGCGGCGGGGACGGCGGGGAATACAAGACACTGAAGATAAGCGAGTTGGGGTCCCAGCTGAGTGACGAAGCGGTGGAGGACGGACTGTTTCACGAGTTCAAACGTTTCGGTGATGTAAGTGTCAAAATCAGTCATCTCTCGGGTTCTGGCAGCGGGGATGAGCGAGTAGCCTTTGTGAACTTCCGGCGGCCAGAGGACGCGCGGGCGGCCAAGCATGCCCGAGGCCGCTTAGTGCTCTATGACCGGCCTCTGAAGATAGAAGCTGTGTATGTGAGCCGGCGCCGCAGCCGCTCCCCTTTAGACAAAGATACTTACCCTCCGTCAGCCAGCGTGGTCGGGGCCTCTGTAGGTGGACACCGGCACCCCCCTGGAGGAGGTGGAGGCCAGAGATCACTTTCCCCTGGTGGCGCAGCCTTGGGATACAGAGACTACCGGTTGCAGCAGTTGGCTCTTGGCCGCCTGCCCCCTCCACCTCCACCACCATTGCCCCGTGAGCTGGAGAGAGAGCGAGACTACCCGTTCTATGAGAGAGTGCGCCCAGCATACAGTCTTGAGCCAAGGGTGGGAGCTGGAGCAGGTGCTGCTCCTTTCCGAGAAGTGGATGAGATCTCACCCGAGGATGATCAGCGAGCTAACCGGACGCTTTTCTTGGGCAACCTAGACATCACTGTGACAGAGAGTGATCTAAGAAGGGCTTTTGACCGCTTTGGAGTCATCACTGAGGTAGACATCAAGAGGCCTTCTCGGGGCCAGACCAGTACCTATGGCTTTCTCAAATTTGAGAACCTAGACATGTCTCACCGGGCCAAACTAGCAATGTCTGGCAAAATTATTATTCGGAATCCTATCAAAATTGGTTATGGTAAAGCTACGCCCACCACCCGCCTCTGGGTAGGTGGTCTGGGACCTTGGGTGCCTCTTGCTGCCCTGGCCCGAGAGTTTGACCGATTTGGCACCATTCGCACTATAGACTACCGCAAAGGTGATAGTTGGGCATATATCCAATATGAAAGCCTCGATGCAGCTCATGCTGCCTGGACCCATATGCGTGGCTTCCCACTTGGTGGCCCAGATCGTCGCCTTAGAGTAGACTTTGCAGATACAGAACATCGTTACCAGCAGCAATATCTGCAGCCTCTGCCCTTAACTCATTATGAGTTGGTGACAGATGCTTTTGGACATCGAGCACCTGACCCTTTGAGGGGTGCTCGGGATAGGACACCACCCTTACTGTACAGAGATCGTGACAGAGACCTTTATCCTGACTCTGACTGGGTGCCACCCCCGCCCCCAGTCCGTGAACGCAGCACTCGGACTGCAGCTACTGCTGTGCCTGCTTATGAGCCACTGGATAGCCTGGATCGCAGGCGAGATGGCTGGTCCTTGGACCGGGACAGAGGCGAGCGAGATCTGCCCAGCAGCAGAGACCAGCCTAGGAAGCGAAGGCTGCCTGAGGAAAGTGGGGGCCGGCACCTGGATAGGTCCCCTGAGAGTGACCGTCCCCGAAAACGTCACTGTGCTCCTTCTCCCGACCGCAGCCCAGAGTTGAGCAGTAGCCGGGATCGCTACAACAGTGACAATGATCGATCTTCCCGTCTTCTTATCTTGGAAAGGCCCTCTCCAGTCAGAGACAGACGAGGTAGTTTGGAGAAGAGCCAGGGTGACAAGCGAGACCGTAAAAACTCTGCATCAGCTGAACGGGATAGGAAGCACCGGACAGCTGCTCCCACTGAGGGAAAAAGCCCTCTGAAAAAAGAAGACCGTTCTGATGGGAGTGCACCCAGCACCAGCACTGTTTCCTCGAAGCTAAAGTCCCCTTCCCAGAAACAGGACGGTGGGACAGCCCCCACAGCTGCAGCCTCTCCCAAACTCTGTTTGGCCTGGCAGGGCATGCTTCTATTGAAGAACAGCAACTTTCCTTCCAACATGCATCTGTTGCAGGGTGACCTCCAAGTGGCTAGTAGTCTTCTTGTGGAGGGCTCAACTGGAGGCAAAGTAGCCCAGCTCAAGATCACTCAGCGTCTTCGTTTGGACCAGCCCAAGTTGGATGAAGTAACTCGACGCATCAAAGTGGCAGGGCCCAATGGTTATGCCATTCTTCTGGCTGTGCCTGGAAGTTCTGACAGCAGGTCCTCCTCTTCTTCAGCCACGTCAGACACTGCCACCTCTACTCAGAGGCCACTTAGGAACCTTGTGTCCTATTTAAAGCAAAAGCAGGCCGCTGGGGTGATAAGCCTCCCTGTGGGGGGCAACAAAGACAAGGAAAACACCGGGGTCCTACATGCTTTCCCACCCTGTGAGTTCTCCCAGCAGTTCCTGGATTCCCCTGCCAAGGCACTGGCCAAATCTGAAGAAGATTACCTGGTCATGATCATTGTCCGTGGTGCGTCCTAAAGTCCATGTGTAACTTGTATTTACTACTTTGACATGGTTCCTGTTTTGTGATGTGTAATGGGATACAGCATCAGATGAAATTTTCTTTTGAATTAGTTTGTTTAGTTCTAGCTTTTTTCTTTTTTATATTTTTATAAACCTTTAAAATAGAAGTCAGGACAGTTTAGCTATTATTTTAAGTGAAAGGGATGCCCTGAAGGTAGCAGGCGGATGGATTTATTTTAATTAGGAGTTTCTACTCCTATGAGTAACTTTTTTCCTCTTTTTCTTCAGCTTTTTTTTTTTCCTTTTTTAACCTTGAGCTTAAAAAAAAAAAATCCTCAGAGTTACAAACCCAAAATTTTTGAAAAGTCGGGATTTGGAGAAGAGCCCACTGACTTTATAAAGATGATAATATACACCTAAAAATGGCTTGATTGGTATGTAGGTAAATAATTCCTGTACCAGAAATGTTATTTGTGTGGCTGAAATTTGATCAGGAATTTTAAAAGTACAAGCTGGTAAATTGTATAGCAATGTAATTATTTTAATCAGGTATTTGAGTATTTCTCTTAAGATACATGGTTTATTCCCGGAGAGTTTGCTTTAACATACACATTTTTTATCATTAGTTCTTAAGTTCTGTATCCCGTATATGCACTTTTGGTTTGTAGCTGTAACTGTTCAGTAAAAATTGAGGAGTAGGTTACAAACCATTTATGTCTTATGCTAGTATGCAAGAAGTGAGTAGGTGTTTTTAAAATCAGAATTCTTTGGTTAGTTATTGGTGTGTGGTGGTGTTTTTACTGACTTTCAGAGAGGTATAGCAGGTACAGGTCTAATTTAATTGTGCATATTTCAAAACTTAAGTGTTTTTCATCAAAGATGAGTTTTTTTGTATCCATGCAAATTTCTGATTTCAATAATAGAAAGAAGAGTTGTCTGCAGGCTCATAAGTCAGCTTTTGTTTTAGTGGGCATTAATCAGCCATATCTGGATTGCAGAAATTTTTAAAGTCATCGTGAAATGCCTTTGAGATGCTCTTTTTAAATTTTGCCTGTATTTTTATTTTCATTTATAAACAGTAGCGATGACATTACATTATTGAAAATGTTGAATATCTTTGAAATTTTGTGTTTAACATATTCACTGGTGTCCAACCACAGAGAACTGAAATGTCAGTGTGGGAGAACCTCTTTTTATTGTTTTATTTCCCAAACACCTGGAATTAATACAGAATAATTTAACCCACCCTCACAGTTTTTTTCAAAGCTGAAGGTTATATCAATTCCTGGTTCTTAACAAGGGCTTTTGCTGCAAAACTGTAATGGATGATTTTTTTTGTCTTGTTTCTTTGATCTGTCCCTCTGTCCTCACCCCTAGTTTCTCAGGTCATTAGTTAAGTATATTTCCCCCTTTGATTTTAAACACTGAGGACTTTAGCTAAGGCCCTTGATATTTAATTATGATTAGAAACTCTACGACCTTTTGGATCATGGTCATGTTTCTATTCTGTGAAAGTGACTTATAGAAAGCCTGGCAGAACTCAACTGTTTTCTTTCTGTTATCAAAGCTGGTAGTTTTGAAATAGCACCAATAATAACCCAGGGAAATGTCATGTAATTTTTTTATTTTCCGTTATGACAGGTGTCTAATGCATGTCAGCATGAAATCCTCAACACTGCTGTGTCATCCTTTTTGGTTTTCACCATGCATTTATAAATTTTCTTTTTAAGTTGGGAGGTGTTTGTGGGTTTTTTGTTTGTTTTTTAAACTGGAAAAACTAGCTATTTTGACAGAAGGAAGGTACTAGGCTGTGAGCACAAAGGTCCTTGGTGTGCCTGTAGGGAGAATATCTGAAATCCTACAAGTAAGACTTGGTGCTTTTGCTTTTAAAAAGCTTTGCTTGGCACGCTAATATGGAGGAGACACTGTTCAGAAACTAATGCAGGTTTGCAGTCTGTGTATACATGGGGTCAAAGTACAGTTTGGCTAGATACATTTTTCCAGTTTAAATAATCTCACTAACCATTAACTTTTGAATATCTTTTGATAAGGCTGGACAAATGATTTTGCTCTTTTAGAGAGTGAAGTCCACAACATTTAATTTTACTCTAATCCAAAGTGTGGTTTTTCCCATTTTCCTTTTTTTCTTTTCTTTTTTTTAAGTTGATGTGACAACTTACCGAAGAGTACTGTGGTTTTTGCTCCTTGTTTGTTTGTTTGACTCTTTATCTGACATGGCGGCTTTTGTTAGATCTGCGCAATTTGTGCTTCCGTGTTTCTGAAACAATGGCTTGATACCATTTCTAAATGTATGTATTAGAAATAACTAATTATGTTTAGTTTGGTGCTTACCTACAGAGTGCCATCATTCAGATGAATCTCTTATTTGTGTTGCCCATTCTGTTGTGCAGGTTCATAATACTGTTAAACTATCTACTTAAGCCTTCAGGATGGAATGAAAGCAAGAGTCTAAAGCTATCTGGTTCTAATTCTCATTAGCCAGAATTTCATAATTTCAGTATTGGATGTTCTTTATAACAACCACTTGTTTCTTTTACTTTAAAAAAAATACTCGTTTAGCTAAATTGATTTTTCTGGAACTCTGTTGAAAGGAATGCAAAGAAAATTTCTTCAGTATATCATTTAATGACTTATTAAGTATTACTGGGGAAAAACATCAAGCTAATTAACACTTAGATCACAACTTCAAAGTTTATGGAAAGTTAAGCAATCATTCGGCTCCTAGCCAATTTTTTAAATATTATTTTGTTGGTTGTAACCGGGATTCCTATAGTTTTCCACACAAAAATTTAAATTCCTGGTTTAACATGTATACTTGGACTCTGTAGCTAGAGTTTTCCCTTTAAGGATTACATCTTAAAATGTCCATCCTCTGGCTGGTATAAGCTTTTTGTCACATTTTGAAGGTAACATACTCTGGCCCTTAATTCATTTAGATCATTTGAGATACAGTAGGAAAAGTGAGGTGTGTGTGTGTTGCTTTCAGAGTCAAACACTGTTTTAGGTTTATTTAAAAATTTTATGAGCAGGTTTTCACTGACAGTATTTGTTTTTTAAAATTTGAAATCCACGTTCTTTAGACCATGAAATTGCTCGTTATGCAGGTACAGCTTGAACTTCAGTTTGGGTTCATATAGGAACCATTCACCAAAAACTCTGTGGTAACAGAATTAGGAAATCCTCTTGAGGAGAGGGCCTTAATGACCTTTATGTGAAATGTTTTGGAGAGAATTTCTGGACTTTTTTTCTGTCTCTGCTACGGTGTTTGGTTTTGAGATGGCAGTTAGGTATGAGAACAAGAAGAGAAGTGGAGCAGACCCTGTTAACATTCTGGTCATAATGATGTCCCTAAAGGGAGAAAATGATTTCAGGTAACCACAGCGAACTGTCTAGCTAAATAAAAAGGTTTCTATGTTTGATTTAAACAGTTGAAAAGTAAAAGTCCTAAAATGTTCTTTGGCTGTTTAGCAATTGTTCTTAATGAGTTTTCTTAAAAGAACAGCTGCTGTCTTTGGTAACACAGATGAAGGTGGATTTTTAAATGGCTTCGTATCTTGACCCCTTTCTACAACGGAATAGTTCTGGATTGTTCCATATAAATTATGGAATGAAACCAGAGAGGGTAAAAGTTTGACTAAACTCCACCTTTTTTTAGTTTCATTTTTTAAGTTATATTTAGAATATATTGATCATAAATGGATTATAAACTTTCTTTTTTCTGAAAATTTTTGACATGTTTTACTCAGTTACATGAGTATAAAGGGTATTTTCAGTCCTGTAATCTTTGCTTAATTGCAGTCCTTAAAAAAATCCACCCTGTTGTTTTACTTGTTATTTGTCTATTCATACAGTAAATTCATTCAAGGTATGTGCCAGTGGGTATTATTGGTGCTTTTTGAAGTCAAGCTGGACTATCCAGGAAGGTCTTGTTAATGTTATGTTCATCTATAATGGCATAGGGGAAATATATATATTTTTAATATTGTAAACATTTGTACTGAATAACCTTTTTTTCCCCCCCGCAAGCAAAACTGGTGAACTGCGGATTGAAGATATGGAATTCAAAGCTCTAATGGACCTTTTTGAAGAGAAGTTGTGGCTTATGTGGAGTTTACATGGGCCTCTTGATGGAAGAAAGCTAATCTGTTTAGTATTTGTGCATTTTACTAAAATGGCAGCTTAAAGTTGTGTATCTGCTATTGTGATGCCAATGCCGGTGTTTTAAGTGGAAAAAAAATGACCTCTTGCTTTGTGCTGTGTACACAAGATTTCTGGAAAAGTAAAGAAAAACCCTTTTTATGGCTCACACAGCTTAAAAGTAGCTGTCACTCAAACGTGCGCTCACAGTTGAGCTGCTTTTGTTTTATTCTAAATAAATTGTTTCTTTTGAGGAAAATGTTTTTCTGCCTGGAAGTGAATTGACGGCAAACCTTTGACCCCTTTGTTTGCAGCCGAGGGGGTACTTGCTGCTGCTCAGATCTTGTATGTCTTGAGCAAGAAGCAGGGAGACCATCATTTTGACTATCACGGTGTGTCAATTCTGAAGGATCACTAGTGTTACTGTGACCCCCTTTGTTTGCAGCGAAGGGGATCCTTTGCTTCTCAGTCCTCAACTTGATGAGGAAATGGTGCTGTTTGCTGGCACGCAAGAAGCCGGGGCAAGCACCGTAAGCCTCACCACAGTGCACGAGTCGGGGGCTTTGCTGGTTTGAAGAGCCGGAGTTGCTGAAATTTAAGTTTTGATTTATTTTGTTCACCCATCACGTTTGGCCTTAGTTTCATTTTTAATTTGAAGAAAAGTTTGAAATTGCTTTATCTTGCACTTAACATTTGCACCAAATTGCCAAAAGAAGGAGAAATGCTCCGTTTGCTTTTTAAATGTTAATGATGATGTTAATAAAGCCTTTCCTGACACATTTGAGGAGCTCCTCCATCTCCAGGGGCTTCTTACCAGAGTTATGCAGTGATGGGTTTAGTTCTGAATGGATGAAGAGTTCCTGAGAGCTAGCGTTTGTAATTAGAACCGTTACTTGGTATCTGTGCCTTATTTGACCTGTGGTTCCACATGCCTTGGATGTGCATGCACCGTGACGGTTTCATAGGTACGAACGCACACTCAGGCCCAGTCACTTCGGTTGGTAGTACAGATTGTGAGGAAAAAATGGAGGCATCCTTAAAGAGGAGAAAGTGTTTGCCTTTAGTTCCTGCGTTATCCTGTACAGGGGCTCCTGAGCTTTGGAAGCTGTTCCCAGTACAGGAGAACAACTCCCCTGTTTGCAGCAGGAGACTTCGGTGCACAGTGACAACGCTGCAATTCAAGAGGAAGCCAGCAGTGCTGCCACCAGTGGCTTCAGACACCATTGTCGTTTGCCAGTTTTAAACGTAACTAGTTGCAGACGAAGACCACCTTGAAATGCAGGCTTGTTGGGCTTGTTTTGAATTTTAACCTCGGATGGAAGAGCCCTAGTGCTGTCTGTCTCCATGCGGGAGGATGCTTACTTAGGCAACAGGTGATTATCAACCAAGGATGCCACGGTTATGCTCTGCAAGGTGGTGTTCCAGTGGCAAACAGCTGTATAAACTCTTGTAAACAGGTAAGAGGGTTTTTAGAGGTCAAAAATGCATTTGATTAACAGGGTGAGGGCTGTTAACTGGTTGGGGTGTTGTTTCTCTGATTGAAAGTCTTTAGGCGCTCTGCTGCCATGACTAGCTTCCTCTCCTCACCAAAGTGTTGTGTTTGTAAAAGTCTGGGCCAGAACTTTTGTTGTACTTCGTGTTTATATGTATATATTTTTTTAGTTTACTTTAACTCGCGGAAAAATTTTTTTATTGTGGGAGCCAAAAGTATTAAAATCCTGGTTATGGGTTTGGGATTTACAGCCTGATGTCCTTTAAAGTTTTGACATTTTCCATTAACCGTGGCCTTCACCCTCTGTGGTGATTTAATGGTACTGGAAGAACTTACTACTGTAAAATGTTGCCATTACGAACGCTGATTCTAAACCTCTGGGTTAGTATATAGCACAAAAAGAAAAGTACCGTCAGACTGGGAATGATAGGTAATTTAGCCAAAATGGTTAGTTTTCTTCTTGGCTTACAAAGAGATTGAATTATCAAAATAGGCAACTATAGTTTTAGGGACGTAAATAGGCAATGTTTCGAGAAATCTAGCTTTTGTCTGCGCTCGCCATTTTCATTGTCCATTTAGTCCTACCAGCCTTCTGAGCCCTTCCAATCCCTCTCCCCTCCCCCCAAATTAATCAGGTATGAGGCTTTGGCAACTTAACATAAGCGTGGCTTTTTTAGTGTATGATACAGCTAGGTTTCCTTTAAGTGGGGTTGAAATGTTGAATTTTTCTTTTTCACAAAATTCTGGTTTTTCATCTCTTTCGAAAGGGGAAAAGTGAAGTGCAGTGGTTGTTTTTGTTTTTCAGTTTGTCATTGTGTGACTGACAAGTTTTTAAAAGCTCTGCTTATGAGTTGGCTGTCACCTAAAACTGCTAGATGATCTCACCTCCATTTCTTCAAACGTTTTGTACCTGTTGGGAATGTCAATTTCCAATGTATTTTCTTTCTCTGGCTAGTCCACGCTGAAAGCCCATTAAGTAGTTTTTCCAACTAGTAAGTATTTTAAATCACTATAATGATTTAAGGAAGATTATGTGACACTCTACATATTTCCACATGTTTGGTATCTTTCTAAGGTCTCAGGTTTCATCTCAAGAACAAGAGGAAAAGGTTGCGAATAGAGCATTTATTTATTTGTATATGAAACAATATCATGTAAAATGGAAGGGTACTCAGCATGACAATCTTTTGAAACTACTCATGAAATCATTTTATTTCTAGCTGCACCATGAAGGAAAAATTCTTAATTGGGTTGAGTGTTAGATCTAGACTTCTGGTTTTATAAATTGGGACCTGCCTTTTTGAATTCTTTGTTTGGTTTCTCAGTATCTTTTGTATGGTCTAAATTTAGGATTCTGCTATAAAGGAAATTATTCCAAGAACACCTCTGAATTGACTTGTGCTCATTTTGAAAAGCCAGGCTGTGGGTATTAAAATTGAAAATAGGGAGTATACCCTGATTTTAGTAATACAACTTAGATTTTATAAATTGCCACTTCTGTAGCTTAAGTCACATTGTTGTTTACAAGCTGTTTATCTGAGGCAGTAAATTTAATGCTTATGGCTGGTTGCAGCATCTATTTTTCTTTTTACAATGGGTTATCTGATTATGGCTTATCTGACCACCACTTCCATCTCCCTCCGGTTCCCTAAGCAATTTATTGAATGACAAAATTCCTTCAAACCTCACACAAGATTGTCCTTAGCAGCCAAGAAGAGATTTTGAACTTGAGGTCAAATTACTTAACATGCTTCTACTCAAATGCTGTAACATTAAGCTTTCAGGTAGAGTTTCTGTATAATCATTTGAATGCTGACTGTATCTTAAGAAGTAAGGTGCTGAGCATATAGATGAAAGTATCAGTCTCTACACATCTCAGCAACTTATACTGGAATTGGGGAAACTAGATATAAACAAGTAAATGGTTAAATATCAGGGGAAAAGTTCACAGTTTAAGACAATTACAAGAGGGATGTCATAGGCCAGTTTTTGATTAATTGCTAACGAATTTTTACAGGTGATACAGGTCTATGAGTATATGAGCTTAAAGGTTCCTTTAGGCTGGGATAGTCAAGAAAGACTACAAAATAATGTGTTAGGTGGAGAAGGATGTGGAATGATGAGGGAGATTGGGATTGAGATGTTGGGCAGGCAAGCATGAATAATAAAACAGCTTGTTGATCAGTGGAAAAGTTGAGCAGGCTGAAGCCTGGAAAACTTGTAAAATGGTCAGGTCAACAGAAATAGGGAGGGAATCCTGAAAGGCAAGGCGGTTTGAGGAAGGTGGGTAGTGAGGATGCATAATCAGTTTGAGGCAGGTTGTCAGAAAGCGACGGTACTAATAATAGCAATCATTTATTAAAAATACCCATTTTAGGCCAAGCATTCTGCCAGGGCCTATGCATACATTGTCTCAGATAGGTTTCACTACAGACCATAATCTGACAGCTAGAATTGATAGAGCCAGGGTTCTAACCAGGCCTTTGTTCCAGCTAGAGTTCTTGGTTGCTGTACTGTCCTACCTCACTATTTTCTGGACGCTGGGATGGGATAAAGCTGCAAACTTGAGAAAATGTCTGGGCAGTGGGTTTGAAACTATAGAGTGTATCACCATTTGCGGTTTTTGGGAAACATGCAGGCCTTTGGCTCCCACCCCACGCATTCTGGGATTTGTTAGGGCTGGCATGGCCCAGGAGTCTTTGTTCTTCTATGAGCTTCCCCAGTAATTCTGATGTAGTCTGTGGTGATTGGCCACATGTTGAGCATCACTGGCCCACAGAGAGTAGAGTGCTGAAGTGTAAACTTGGGGTTATGTCATATATACGGCATGGGAAGGGGAGATGGTGTGGAAAAGAATCCCAAGGAGAAGAGCCAGAGTAGTAGTATTCTGTCTCTGAGGCTGAGAGGAGGTAATTGCAGAAGATAAATTCAAAGCTGTTACAGAGACAAGCAGAATGAAACTGCAAATGCCATGGAACTTATCACTTAAAACCGTCAGTTAAGTAACTGTTTTATAGTCGTGTAATTATTTTTCCAAGGAATTCAGTCTAGCTTAGTATGTGATTTTTGCCTTATAACAGTCTGTAAGAAGGGCCACTCTTTAAAAAATTTATAAAATGCTAAAGGGATACCAGAAAAGTTTTGTGAGTTTGGCTAGGGGATATACAGCCAGGAGCTGATTGGGATATCCTTGAGGTTTCGGATGTTAATCTAAAAATAATGTGACTGTAGTCTATTTTAAATTAAAATGAAAGCGATTCAAGGATTATGTATATGTGTATGTACATGAGCAAGTTGTTTTTTGTGAATGAACCGGCACCTATATATACTACCTCTTAAGCAGGTTACTGATAGGATTGAGGCAGAATGGAATTATAAAGTTGAGTGTATCTTTGACTTCTAAATGGTTGAAGGATTTCTTGTTTTGGATTATCTAACCTGGGTTTGTCTTCAGTTAGTGTGGAATTAATTCATTCTTCAAATATTTATTTATTTATTTATTAAAGATTTTATTTATTTATTTGACAGAGAGAGACACAGTGAGAGAGGGAACACAAGCAGGAGGAGTGGGAGAGGGAGAAACAGGCTTCCCGTGGAGCAGGGAGCCCGATGTGGGGCTGGAGCCTGATGCGGGGCTCGATCCCAGGACCCTGGGATCATGACCTGAGCCGGAAGGCAGACGCTTAACGACTGAGGCACCCAGGTGCCCCCATTCTTCAAATATTTAGATATCTGTATGTACCAGGAATTATTCTAGATCTTGGGAGTATA